CTCGGGCTGACTCGAACCGCTGTTGCTCAGAGCTCAAACTCTTGAGCGAGCTCTTAACCAACTGAGCCACTCAGCCGGCCCATTATTTACTATGTTTCTTAACTCAATACCACCCTCTTCTGTTGTCCGTGAGTAGTTTCTAAAATTTACTAGATCAAGCCTTTCACTTTGGGGGTGGGAATTTATGTGATGTCTGATTCTTCAATATTCTCTTGTACGTATATATAATTCCCTCTCTTGTATATATAAATTCCACTGTTTGCTTTTTTCCTTTTCCTTTATCACCAAACCTCCAGGGCACACCTGGCCCTTCCAAACACCCCCCATCCCCTCAGAAACGTTGCCCTTAGAACTGTCGTTTCTGGTCTCATGGGCTTCCAGGCCCCTTTTTTTACTTCCTCGCTTGCCTGTGTTCTGATCAACCAGGTCTCAGACTTGTCCTTAGTATTTCCCCATTTAGCATTGTGCTGTTTCAGGGACACTGGTGGAAACCAGCTGCATCCTTCAGCATGGGCTATAGAGCTGCCTCTTCCGGTTTAGGATATTTATTTCCCCATTTATATGCAAACTGAAGCCTGTGGTATGCTCTAGTTATGCTTTAGGCATGATTTATGGATGTTTTTATCTATGTCCTTGTTGATCACTATGGTTTTTGGAGGATGGGTAGGGAGGTATATATTTAGAGGGGTCTACTATTACCCTTACAGCAAATCAGTTCAAGAAGTAATTACTTTACGGATGAAAACCAAGCAGCAGTAAAATCAGATTTAGTGTATAAAAGTTTAAAAATTAGAAAAAAATCTTGAAAACTTTAAATAAAGACTTCTTGTAATAAGAGACCATTTTTTTCTAGCTTAAAATACTATTTGAATATAGAATGTTACATTTCATAAAGAAATGTTTAATAAGACTAAATTTCAAATACCAATTTCATTGTACACAATAAGTAGGTGACCAAAACTAATGACATGTCTTGATTTCTGTGGTGGTTCTTTGTAGCGTGTCAACTTTCGAGAAACTATAATGAAGATGTTGGGATTTAACATGAAAACAGCAGACAAGGAAATTATTACTCACCTAAGGCTTATTATCCAAGATTATGAAGCATCTAACAAATCGAAGGTTGCTTCTGACTGAGACTGGACAGGATGATGAATAAAAATGTTCTGCCTTCTCACTGCTGCCAAGAAGAACTCAGCAGATATGTACATTTCCTCCAGAGTCTTGAGTCTGGCTACATTATGAATAAAATGCATTGGAAAATTTTAACTTGAATCTGTTCTTTCCTTTGATGTTTGGCGTTTAACTTTTCTTTGTCATAATATTGTTCTATAAGTTTTATTTATGGTCTAGCCTAGATTGTTACTTGTAATATATAATATCTAATTATATTTATTATTAACTATTTTAAGCAGGATATTAATCAGAACGTGAATTGGAATATATGTATCTCTAGTTAACAGCCTGTTTCTAGAATGAACATTTTACTGAGTATACCTTCTTATGAATCAGATAAAATTGTATTCTATACTTTGAATCTATCTTATCTATTTGATTAACTGAGAGTGTGAAAATCAGACATGAATTGTTGAGGTGTAGGAGTCATTAATAATTCTTATAAATGTGCAATAGACTATATTGTGTTTTTTATTTTCTTAGTGTTTAATAGTGTCTGCTAGTGTTTTCCTAATGGTAGGCCAATTTCTAAGTTAATGGGCTACTTTTTAAATAGTATAATTTCTAATTTATTTCATTAAAATAGGAAACTGCTCTTCTTTCAAGGTAGTTTTAGATTTATCCAAGATGTCCTCTTTAGGAATAGGTTGGAATCTGGACAGGCCTTCGGAGGCTTGATGTCTGCTGTGGTCATTTTAAAGGATCTCCTGTGGGGCTTCATTTTAGAGGGATCTTCAGGATGGAAGGAATCTTCTTATACTGGACCTTACAGAATTAGCACTTTGGAAAAAAATGATTATCTTGCGTAGTTATTCAAGGAAAAAAAGAATGAGAATCACTCACTTTCTAAATGGTCATAGCCATGTTTCTCAAACTGTGGGCCAAGGCACTCTGGTGCATTGCAGGGATCTTAGCCTGCCATGGAGTATTTCAAAAACAGTGATACTGGACATTTGTCAGGAAAATACTCCAACTATTAGCTCCATGTAGTTTATAGTTTCAACATTGGATCACTCTTCTTTGTTTTGATGACATATCTTTGTGATGGAAACTGCCCAGGGCTTCTCAGGACTTGAAAATCTGTTGCCCAGTAGGGCCCAGCAGTTGGTGGTATCACTAGCAAGTCATCACAGGATCCTTGGCTACAATGTAAGAAGCCCACTTATTGTTCCTCTCAAGAATATCCTTGGACTGGCAAAAGAGGAAATGTAGGGACATCCTGCCCAGAGCCTCCAACTATCGCCCAACCCCCTCAAGCTGTAAAAACCACCTTCTTGTTCAGGATACACACGGGTCAGCTGCCTGCTACAGCCTCAGCACAAGGAGCTGGAAGGACTGTACTATCCCATAAGCCAGGCAGGCTGTCACCCCTTTTCCAGAGCTTCCCTCCTAAGAACACAGCTATTACAATAACTATGGTTTCAGATGGCTACTAGATTTCTCGGGATGATCACGTTGTTAAGTTATATAAATGTCTAATCACTATGTTGTATACCTGAAACTTATATAATATTGTATGTCAACTGTAGTTGAAAATAAAAAATTATTTTAAAAAAAAGCTGTATCAGAATCACTTAATGAACTTAATTTTTTTTTTTCCTGGGCCTATACAGAGATTACAGTTCAGTTAGTGTGGTGTGTGGCTGAAGTATGGACATTTTTTTCAAAGTTCTCTAAGTATATAAATTGATAAAATTACTTTGGAAAACAGTTTGGCAGTGTATTAGTTCCTGTTGCTTCTATAACAAATTATCACAAACTTTGTGGCTGAAACAATATTCTTACATTTCTGGAGGTCTCAACAGTTGTTGGCAGGCCTACTATTCCTTCTGGAGAGGGGAGAATCCATTCCCTTGACTTTTCCAGCTTCTAGAAGATGCCCACATTCCTGATTCATTGTCTCTTTCCTCCATCTTCAAAGTCCAGGACATCAGGCCTGCTGGGTATTTATCATGCTACCATTTCTCTGGTTCTCCTCCTCCTGCCTCCCAGTTCCCCTTTTAAGGGTCCTTGTGATTATAATGGACAACCCAGAATAATCTCATTTTAACCCTACCAGACCTGAGGCCCTGAACCTAACTGTCCCCTATACCTGGGCTCCTGAGCATTAAAGAGAAAAAACCAACATGATATAGAAAAATGTTAGTTACATGCAAACAAGTGGTTAGAATAAGATGGAACTTGGAGACATTGTAGAAAATAGGAGTGCTTTTCCATGCACACAACACAGATATGATTAGATAAGATATGATTAGAAATTACCGAAAAATCGGTACAGCGGTCTGGTAGGGTTAAGGTCAGCTGATTAGCAGCCTTATTTCTCTTTTGCGATGTAGCCTAATACACTCACAAATTCCAGGGATCAGGGCAAGGACATTTTTGAGGAGCCATTATTCTGCCTACCACAGTTGACATCTACTAAAATCCAACACACACATGCCTCATAAACCTGCAATTCCACTCCTACATATAAACCTAACAGAAATGTGTGTATATGTTCTACAAAAAGACATTTACAAAGCTATTCATGGCCGCACTGTTCATAATCATCCCAAAGTGGAAACTACCCAAATAACCAAAAGTAGAGTATGACAACAACATCCACCAGTTAAGCATTCAGATCTCCTACAGGTTTGGGATAGGGCGAAGCCAACTAGAATGCTGAATTTTCTCAGGGCCGAACTATAAAGTGACTCCAGCTTCAAGACAGGGGGAATGGCAAATAGAGCAGAGCATGAGTTTAAAGAGAAATGGTCAATTTGTAGGGGCAGAAGGCGGGGGACCACTTAGCATGTGGTAAGCCTCTAACACGGTGGAAAAAGAAATAACCTGGAAGGAGGCCTTAGTTCTTGTTGAATATCACTAACCAGCCTTGTCACTCTTGGTCAAGTCCTGGGTTGAACTCAAATTTTCTTCATCTCAAAATTAGAGAGGAAGTGTGGCCTGATAGTCTGACTTCTGACGCTGGGGTTCCAGGCAGCACCCAAATACCCTAGCAGAAATGTTTTCAGGTCAGATTAATGGAGCTGGTTGCCACCTGGAGCTAGCAGGCACAGCCACCTGACATTTTCTATCTGGGACTGTTTTCTCAGCTGCAAGGCTCATCTTCAGGAGCGAAAGGCTGAGATCAACCTCCTCCCTCTCCAACTATTTGACTCTGCCCTTCCCCTACTAGTGTCCCCTTCGGCAAGAGAGGACCATTAGGACATGATTAGTGCAGCTGCTTATACGCAGACAATCTTCCCATGTAGGATTCCCATTCAGGATTTCACTGTGGACGCAGCCAAACCGGAGACGCGGCTCCTTCCAAACCCACGGGGCACAGCCCAATCCGCGTGCTCATGATCCAGGGAGCCAGCACTACTTCGCAGGTGCACCGCCCCCAGGTAGCTGCGCGTGCGCATCCCTGAGCCGGAGGAGACGGGGGTGGGGGTGGGGGTGGGGCACTTAACTGGGGGCGTTGCTATGCGACACTGCAGGCGGAAGAGGAGAGACCAGACGCGGCGTAACTCGAGGATGACTGGCGGTAATGATTGGCTGGTGGAAAAAACTGTTTCAGATCGCGCCTTCGTGTGGGGCGGGGAACCCGCTGAGGTCGGGCCTCGATCCCAGCCGGAGGGGCGGACTCGCGGGAGAACAATTTCGCGGGCGCGGGAGCGAGGCGAGTTTCCGAGACCCTACGGGGTTCTGGAAGCCAAGTTGTTAGGGCTGTGGTCGCAGGGCTTCCCCAGCAGGGAGAAAGCTGGCCTGGCTCCCGTGCGGGGAGCCTAGTGCGGCGCCGGGCCGGCCCGTAGAGGTTAAGCCTGTGGAGTGGGGGTGGCTTCCGGCGTTCTCACCCACGGCGCCAGAGATTGGACCCACCCCAATGTGGAGTCCGAGGGTCAGGACTGGCTTCTGTAGCTGTTTTAAAGTCTCCCCAGGTGTCTAATGCTCGCCCAAGGTTGAAGCCCAGCCCGCTGTTTTAGGCCCCTCGGAGCCGGGCACCTCAGTGCCCAGGTAACCCTGGGATTGGCCACTGCAGGAGGGTTGTCACTTTGCAAGACTCGATTTTGTCAGATGCCCACACAGATCTGGGATTGGAGGACTGACGCGGTCCTAAGTAACCTAGATGCCAAGTGACCTACAAGGGCCGACGCTGCCTCCCCGCAGGCGTCCACTCTGGAGAAGGAGATTGATCGTTCACTTGGGGGAGCAGGACAGGAGGGCGGAAGCAGCTGCGATGTTTGTGGGGACTAGTCCTCAAGTTTCCGAGCGGAGTTTGCTTTCACTGTTGGAGAAACCTGACTGGATTTTCAGCTGCGCTCAAATACAGTCATCTCAATATAGTTCTTAAGATATTCAGGCCCCTTTGAACTTCACCAAATATATGGGTTTTTTTAATAAACCGTTTCACAAGTGGGTCTAATTGATGGCAGAGTCATCTATTGAACTTGTTTCATTAACAGTATTATTGAGATGTAGTTTACGTACTATAAAATTCTGTTTTAAGTTTACAGTTCATGACATTTAGCATATTTACACAGTTATGCAACCATCACCATAATGGAATTGGAAAATCGTTGGAGATATGTGTTTTGCAAAGATTATGTCCCAATTTATGGCTCTTTTCATTTTGTTACCCGTGTTACATACAGAGCAGGTCCCCCCCCCCCAATTATACTTCGTTTTAAAAGAGCAGTTTAAGGTTCACAGCAAAATTAGTTCACAGGGGAAAGGTAGAGATATTTTCCATATAGCCCCTGCCCAACATGTGCACAGCCTCTCCCATTACCAACATGCCTTATCAGAGTGGCACATTTGTTACAACTGATGAATCTATATTGACACATAATCACCCAAAGTCCATAGTTTATATTACAGTTCGCTCTTTGCATTGTACACAGTGCAGAAAATTTTAATTTTAATGAAGTCCAACTTACCAATTTTTTCTTTTGTGAATTATGCTTTTGGTGTTGTATTTAAGTAGTCATCTCTAAACTTAAGGTCACCTAGGTTTTCTCTTATGTTCTAGGAATTTTAGTTTTGTGTTTTACATTTAGGTCTGTGATCCATTTTGAGTTACTTTTTATGAAAAGTGTAAGGTCTGTTTCTAGATTTTTTTTTTTGGCATGTGGATATCCAGTTGTGCCAGCACTGTCTGTTGGAAAGACTATCCTTTCTCCATTGAATTGCATTTTTTGTTTGTTTTTTGGTCAAAGATCAATTAATTGGCTATATTTGCATCGGTCATTTCTGGGCTCTCTATTCTGTTCCTTTGATTTATGTGTTCACTCTTTCACCCCTACAATACTGCCTTGATTGCTGTAGCTTTATAGTAAATCTTGAAGTTAATTAGTATCAGTCTTCCAACTTTCTTCTTCACCTTCATTATTGTGTTTCCTATTCTGGGTCTTTTTCCTTTTGATGTAAGCTTCAGAATCAGTTTGCTGATATCCATAAAAATAACTTGCTGGGATTTTTTTTTTAAAGACTTTTATTGGGAAATTGGGGGAAGGGGAACAGACAAGTTGCTGTCGTTTTGTTCTTCAGTCTAGTTGTGGAGGACGTTGCTTCACTGGCCCAAGTTGGCAC